CATCGGACCGTGGAACCGGTTTTTTCTTTAACCTATCATGTAGTGGTTTTGTAATATGGTTAATGTTTGGATAGAAATCTAGAACATAATTCGGACTTCCTAGAAACCTTTATAGCCGAGTTTTGTCAAGAATTTTATCGAGAAACTTATTAACAAATTCTAAAGACCTCTCTATTGGGGCAATGGTTCCTTGGGTAATGTAGTGACCTAGGAAACGTACCTTGGTTTGAAACAAAGAAATCTTAGGTTTAGAAACTATTAAACCATTATGTTTTGCAATATAGAAGAATGTTTTCAAATGCTTGAAATGTCGTTCAATGGAATTTGAAAATATTAAAACATCATTTATGTAAACAATGCGGAATTGTGAATATGGATGGAATATGTCATTCATAATTCTCTCGAAATTCGAGAGGAGCATTTTTCGGACCAAAAGGCATAACATTCCATTCATACTCGTCCAAACGGATTAGTGAAAGCAGTTTTGTATCTATCCTTAGGATGGATTTGGATTTGCCGTAAACCCGACTTCATGTCAAACTTCGAAAACATAAAGGCGAATTCAATTTTTTGTAATAAGTCCTTTTTATTAGGAATAGGGTACCTAATCCATTTTAAGGCTTTGTTTAAGGGTTTGTAATTGATCACGAGTCTAGGGGTGCCTCTTTCCGTCTCGTAGTTTTTATTGATGTAGAAAGTCGCACAAGACCAAGGTGATCGAGATTTTTGGATAAGACCTTTAGATTCTAAATCCCGAATTTCTAACCGATAATGTTTTTTAAGGTCGCATTCATTTGGATAGGTCTAGCTTTGGTAGGAATCTGTTTATCATCAAAGTCTTTGTCATAGGGCGAGTCAACACTATATGGTTTCCTATTCCAAAAGGCGGTTGGTAAATCGGAATAGATTTCTTGTTCTAGTCGGTTTTGAAAATCGAAATTTTTTCTTTTATAAATTTATTTTGTAACTCGACATTGGATTTTTTATAAAGAAACATCCCGAACTAAATGCGAGAAAATGTTGTTGTTTTCCAAGCAATCAAAGCATTAATCTCAAAATTATAAATAGAGCATGCTTTAATAATATTAAGATTCTTAGTCCTAGGTTTCTTAATAAACAGGAAAACAAGTTTTGTTTGCTTAGTTTTAAAAGAGATGAAATCATCATATACCTTATAAGGAGTTATAAGATTTATGAACCAGAACTCCTTCGGTCCCGCAAAAATTCTCGTGTATGACTCCTCAACCTCGTTTCAAAAATAGAGAAAGGTTCTTCCTCTATAAAACCCTTTTCTCAAGAATCTCGGGATTCTTCAAAAATTCTTTCTCAAAATATTTCACAAAATACTAAGATCATTTCATCAAAAAACAAAAATAAAAAATCCGAGTCCGTCTATTTTTTTTTTAAATGTTTCTCAAAACATTTTTACTCGTCGAAGATGGGTTTTACTATGGTGACCCTTTTAAGATAGTTCAAAAATTCTTTGGTTCCGATTGACACTTCAAACCTTGAGATTTATCCAAAACACAATCTTACTATATGGCCATCCTAGAAATAACGACCTCGGTAATATTCAAACACCATCCTACCCTAGATAATATAGAAATCGCCTATTCAACCTCGCCATATCCTCAAAATCATCCATCCTTTTGACTGGGGACATGATCTTTCAAAACCAATTGCCTTCTTAGCAAACTTTAAAACTACTATCAAACACTCGCCTTACCTACTCATACTAGGATTATCAACAAGCATGGTTTAATACCCCTTTCTTACAAAACAAAAGAGGAAGCCACTCCTAGTCTCATATATATCATATATATATATATGATATATATATATATATATATATATATATATCTTACGGGGGTTACACAAGCCTAGGTCTTAAACTAAGCCTAAATCTACCAACCTAGCCTAGCCTCGACCGACTAAGAGCAAAACATCCAATCTAACTCAAACTAAAACAAAACCCAACCTAAAATTCTTCCTTCTTGCTCCTTACTCGTAACCCTTCTCTATTCCTCTCACTTTCATTCATGTTCTTCTATATCAAACTTACAAAAACGAAACCCATGAATTGAAACCCGACTTCAAAGTATTGAATTTTTTTCATCCTTTATCTTGTATTCTTCCAATCAAATCAATCAAAAAAAAAAGAAAAAAGAAAAAAGAGGAGGAATAAGGTAGTTATGTGTATTGCATGATGTCGGTGATGAAGTCACACTACCAAAGAAAAAAGGAATTAGCGAACTGTCATTAATTCCCAAAAAAACCATCGCTAATCTACACCGGCGACGGTTTTGTGATTGTCCAATACCGTTCCAATATCTGTCGGAAAAATGCTTCTTGCTAAAACAATAACGATCGTTTTTCAAGAGCATCGCTAATTTAGTTATGGGAAAAATCATCGCTAATTATATGGAAAACCGTCACTAATTTTGGATAAATGAGTGACTATTTCTACAAATCGATGCCAAATTCGGTAGCTCATTTTGGACAAATTTGCGACATGTTAGAAAACCATCGCTAAAACTATTGCAAATTGTCAAGAATTAACAACTCGATTTAGCTACTATTTTGTAAAGATGGTCACTAATTAATAATTTAGTGACGATTTTAGTATGCAATTTTTTTTTTAATATTTACGGGAAATAATTTTTTATTTAAATTATCCTATTCCAATTTAAAAACTATAAAAAACACAATAAATAAGATTTTTAAATAGTAAAAAATTAATATAAAATATAAAATGAAATATATATAAAAATATTAAATTATGAAATAATTTTAAAATTGGTTAATATTACAAGGAAAATAAAACATAAAAACTAGAAACTATCGGTATGGTCGTCGACTGGAGGATCGATGAATGAACCGCCTCGCTACATACTCGGTAAGCGACATCTACCGCACCATCGCATGCTACTTCCGAATACACTCGTCTCAACTCATTTGTAATAGCTAAGAATGATGTAACAATACCCTTTAGTTGCTTAATCTTTTTTACATGTCTAGTAGCATGAGCCTCCATTTCCTTTCGTCGTGCCTCATTATCGATATGAAACCGTGAACCGGCCGAACTAAAAGATGTACCGACATTAGAGTAATAGTGAGAGGCTTGTGACCCAATTTTATACATCCTTTTCCTTTTACTATCTCCTCCTTCAACATCCTTCTTAAAAATCTCGTTCATGTCGATATCAAGTAATAAAGTACCCTCCGTCCGTCGCCTAGCAACCTTCTCATCTAATATTTTATCCACGGTCTCCTATATAATTATACAAATTTTAACATTAAATAGCTATGTCAATAAGTTATATAAAAGTGACATACGTGTGAAATAATCTATTGTGTTAATACACATACAAATTGATAGAAATACCCTTATCTAAGGGACTTAAACCCCATATAATTTATTTAAAAAATAAATTGTCATATTGTTTTTAATTTTTTTTCAAGGTTATGTTTTTAATAAATCAGGTTTGGTTTGAGTTTATGACATGAGAATATTTTCATCGGCTTAGATAAAAATATCTATCATAACCACAAGTTAAAAACTTAGTTATTTTATAAAAATAAAATTGTCCCAATTAACAATTATGAAAATAAATTAAAAACCTATTTCATTATATAAAGACAAACCGAACCATTTCTTCATACTTTTTTTATATATAAAAATAAAGATAAGTAACCGTGCATATAAATTTCAAAATGAGTTAATGGTTGCAAAAGTCTTTTTATTTTTTATTTTGTTTATATCGTGTCCCTTTACTCTTTTTTTTTGTTTTTCTTAAATTCATCTCTCTACGTTTGATTTCTATCTTAATCTTGTCTCTTTATTAATTTTTGAATTAACGATGTTAATTTATTTTTTTCTTGTCTTAATCTCATCCCTCTACTTTTTATTTTTATTTTTATCTTAATCTAATTTTTACACCAAATTTAAATAAATAAATTTTAAACTATAAAAATTAGAAAAATATGAAGATATATCCTGTTATTATCTCCAAAAATTAAAAATAAAAAAGAGTGAAGCTAAAAATATTTTTTATCCAAAATATCTTTTATGCATTTAAATTTATTTATATAATAGTTAATAAATTTCAAATATAAGATAAAATATTTATAATTATTTTTTATATTCCCACTTTTAAGTCAAATTAACAAATTTGTAAATGATCAAAATAAGTAAATCATAATAGACTCTTCCGAGAGATTGCAAAATTATAAATATTATTCAAAAATTTAAAAATTTAACTAAAACTCTCTTTATATTTAAAATAGAATACTATAAATATTTTATTTTATACTTAAAATTTACACTATCATAGAGACTCATTTATATATATTATTTTATACTCAAAATTTATTTATTAATAGAGACAAATTTAAGCCAATAAATGATATTTTGGCCAAAACAATATTTTTGTCTTTATTGTTTTTTCAATTTTAAGAGAAAAAGACGGTATATATCTTTATTTTTTTTATTTTGGACAAAAAAATATTTTCTATCTTTATTTTTTTTTAATTTTAAGAGAAAATGATGAGATATATCTTTATTTTTTAAAAAATATTTATTTAGATTATGAAATTATGATTGAAAAATAGAATAGAGAGATGATATTAAAACATAAAGAAAACAGATTAAACATCATTAATCTAAAAGTTGATCAAGAGATGAAATAAAAAAAGATTAAATATAAAAGAATAAATTTAAGATGAAAAATACTATAAAGACACAACAAAAAGAAAAGAAAGAATTGAAAAATCTCTGCAATTATTAACACGAACGTATTAGACTAAAACAACATTAATTTCTTTTTATTGCTCCCATCACTGGTTTCCTATCCGACGTCGTCTCCCAGCTGTGTCATCATGGACTTGAACCAGAGCCGTGCCTCCGGTTCCAAGCATAATTCGACCATTTTACTATTCTACTATTTTCCTCCACCATTGCATAATCCAGAGATAAACAACAATCAAAGAAAGAGATAACAATGCTTCGAGCAATCAAAACCACTTCTCTCCTTCGATTTTCCTCTTTAACCTTCATTTCTCGATCTGTAAGTTTAATTAAACACGTTATTTTTCCTCTTTAATCATTTTTTTTAAAACCAAATCAAACATGATAGAAGTTAGTTCTTTTGCTTATTAATTGATTTCGTAAGCAGATTAGTACCTTAATCCTAGCCGAACATGATGGAGGCACAATCAAATCACAATCAATAAGTGCAGTAGAAGCTGCAAAATATCTAGATGATCAAACTTCAATTTCTTTGCTATTAGCTGGCTCCGGTCCTCCTCTTCAACAAGCCGCTGCTCATGCCGCCTCTTGCCACCCCTCCATTTCTCAGGTCTTTATTTTTATTTTTATTTTTATTTTGAGATTTTATTAATGCTCGTTTCAGGTTAATTTTACTATTTGTTCCTAATAAAATGTTTATTTATTTATCAATTAGGTACTTGTAGCTGATTCGGATAAATTTACATATCCTTTAGCAGAACCTTGGGCTAAGTTAGTGCAATTGGTTCAGCAAAAAGGCCAATATTCGCATATAATTACTGCTTCGAATTCGTTTGGGAAAAATTTATTGCCGCGTGCTGCTGCATTGTTAGATGTCTCTCCAATCACTGATGTTATTAATATTTCTGGTTCTAGTCAATTTGTCAGGTAATTAATCACCGTTTCAATTGCCAAAATGGTCGAAATGGTCTTGCTTGTGTGTCATATTTTATGTGATGATAGTTTCCACAAACTGTACAATAAGCTGTTTTTTTTTTTTTTTTTCATGTGGCAGGCCAATTTATGCTGGAAATGCACTTTGTACTGTAAGATATATTGGCAGTAATCCGTGTATGTTGAGTGTTAGATCGACATCATTTCCAGTCTCGGCAGATTCGAAATCTAACGAAGCTCCTATTTCTCAGGTTGATCTCTCGACCTTTGATGAAGGTCTGTTAATCTTTTCTAGTTATAGCTGTTTTTTGGTTGGCTAGTCTTGGGCTTGTGGTTTTGCTTGTGACCTTGTTTCTTGTTCTTGTTGGGTATCTTTGTTCTGTGGAATTAATGGTTTATGTAGGTAATTTTTATTTATTGGAATGATAAAGCATGTGTCTCATAATTTCTCACTATTTAACTGCAGATTCTGTTGGCAAGTCTAGATACGTAAGTCATACAGCTCAGGATACAGAGCGTCCTGATCTTGGAAATGCACGAGTTGTGGTCACTGGGGGCCGGGCATTGAAAAGTGCTGAGAACTTCAAAATGATTGAAAAGCTTGCAGAAAAACTTGGTGCTGCTGGTAGTTCCTTAAAAATACCACTATTAGGTTTTTAAAATTTACCAATATTATGTTGATGGGCATGCTTTTTATGTCCTGATTTATTTTATCAATTGAATCATGATGATGTAGGTTAAATTTTTTTTCGAATCTTCAGTTTTAAACCAGCGAAATTTGTTAGGCTCTTTCATGTCCTTTTATTCTACTAGACCACAAACAACCTGGTCTTTTATTCTTCTTGATGTGGAGAACTTCCTGACTCTTTCAATTGTTTATAGTTGGTGCTACCCGTGCTGCTGTTGATGCAGGATTTGTTTCAAATGATCTCCAGGTAATATTTCTAGTGCTTCTATCTAGCTTCCAAGCATCTCGTATGACTTCATTATAATGCTGAAATTCATAACATCTTTTAGTCAGATGAGAAGCACAAAGCAGTAGAGAATTGCTCTTTGAGTACTTTACTGTAGAAAGATGATATTGTAAATTAAAAAGTCTCTGAACAGAACTGAACTTTCATGTGTGAAGTTTGAAGTTTGAATTTGTGTTCTTTGGGCTTGAAACTTGTGCATTCCCTAAGAAACTGGAATGTCTCCGAAAGATGTTTCAGCATATCATGGGTCCGTGTGTATATCCCCTACCATATTTAGCCAATTTTGTTGTCCCAGGGATCCTTTTTTTTTTTGTTGGTCCTGGTCTTTGATCATAACTGCTTTGTTTTTCAGGTTGGTCAGACTGGAAAAATTGTTGCCCCAGAATTGTACATGGCTTTTGGTGTCTCTGGAGCCATTCAACACTTGGCTGGGATGAGAGATTCCAAGGTCATCGTTGCTGTAAATAAAGACTCAGATGCACCCATTTTCCAGGTGACATTTGAAGGCCATCAGAAGCCCCTCCCTCTATAACACACACACACACACACACCCATACACCCACCTTGCAGAATTTGTAGTTGGATAGAAAACAGTTAATTGGTTACTTTTTATGTATATAATCTGGTTAAGGTTCCAAGTTAGGCTTTTTTATCCTGGTCTGTTTTCAGAATCTGCACCTTCTGGTATTAGTATCCAAGTTAACATTCCAATTGGATATCATTGCAGGTAGCTGATTATGGGCTTGTTGGTGATCTTTTTGAGGTCATACCAGAGTTGTCAGAGAAGCTTCCTGAGAAAAAGTAGACCTGGCCGTGGGCACTTCAAAACTATTAAAATGCTAACAGAATGCTTAATTTCCTGTTCATCACATTGTTCAAATTAAAGAAACAAACATTAATAATTCGAAAGTGAAGTTTGATTTCATTAAGACTTGTTGATAGGTTATCGTTATGTTTTCTGACGTGGGCACAACAAAAGTCGGCATTTAGGATTGTTCGCAAATTTAATGTCCATTAAAATGCACCAGGTAAAAAAACTACCGAGCTGTGCTGCTACTTTTTTTTTTTTGAATTAAAAAACTTGAAAGGTGAACGAACAGTCGAACGAAAACGGACATTGATGTTTGGGCCTAAGCCTTTAGGATTGGAATGGATTTAACTGTATTAGGGTTTTGGACCCTTCTTTTGAAGGTATTGGGGCCTTCATCGATTATCATTATGCTTGGTGCAGATATGCTTGAAAAGTTGCATCATAATTGTTCCAACCAATCCAAGCCTCCTAAAAACTTTGAGTCATTTAAGAGTTGGTTTTTTAACTTTCAATTTGAGATTGAATTTCTCTACAACTATTTTTCACTTTACAGGTTTTTATCAATTCTAACATTTAATGTCTTTTTTTAATAATTAAAAACATGCAAAAACTTTGGATGCTTTGCTTTTTCTTTTTTATCAAAACTTATTTAATCATTTCTAAATGTTGAAAAATAAGCAACTAAGAAGCATTTCAGAAGTAAAAAAACAAATTTTAGAAGAAAAAGCAAAACCTCCATAATTGTTTTTTTCGGTGGTTAGGAAGTCATATATATTTTCACTATTAAAATTGATAAAAACTTAATAGAAAGATGTAATTTCAAATAAAAAATAATTAGAGAGAGGTTTTATCATAAATTAGAAATTAAAAAACTGATTTTCAAAGTAATTAAAATGCAAGAAACGTTTGGATCATTTAACTTAATTGTGGCTTTAAGAAGTTCCGTTTTGCAATTGTCAAGGGCAATTGTTCATTGGTAATTGGTAAGCAGACCAAAGCTGACTTAGAGTTCGGATGAACCCTTCGATAGGAGGAAGTAGCAACACTCAACCTCGGCTAATCTTAACGTCAACTAAGAAATCATGCTTTTGGGGTGTTAATTCGATAACTGCAGTTTCACGTGTACAAAGTTAGGTTTCTTCTTTTGAACAACTAGTTAGGTTAGGTTAGGTTTCGGAAGAGCAAGGTCCTCTTTTCAATTGATAGAAAGGGAAAAGTCTGAATGATTTCTTGTCTGGAAGGGTTTGATTCCATTTTCGATGTGTCGAAAAGGACACATTCAATCCCTTATACAGATAATAAGTTGCATTGCATGATTGATCTCCAGTCTTATCACCCCTCCCATAAAGAGACAGCACTAAGCTCAAGACCCACGTTATTTCTTTTGTTTTCATTCCAGAATGAGAATGCAAGATAATCGAAATGATTTCTGTGGTGGGGCTGAAGTACAGCTAAAAATCACACGTCATTTTTTTGTGCATGCAAAGCTCTGGAAGTTTAGTATGATAATTTATGTTTCAGAAACTTCGATAAACAAGCGCATCTAGTGTAGTGGTATCATAGTACCCTCCCACGGTACTGACCGGGGTTCGATTCCCCGGATGCGCAGCAGTTCTTTAAATTTTTAAATTTTATGTTTCTATTTTTTGGCACATCGTGTGTGTTTTGATCATCCCCATCAACAAATATTTGGTAGATTCATTAATTTTTATCAATTACCATGATTGTCATTTCTAGCTGCCAAGAAAGATACAAACAAGAGCAAAGGCAAAAGGGGTATAAAATCTATGGACAATTAAGATTTTGGGACAGCAAGCAAAGCCGAGTAAAGTTTGAGACTTCTAACAGTATTATCAAACACACACACTAAATCTACTATTTAGATTCGTTGATTTTTTTTTTTTTTTTCAGATTACTATGATTGTCCTTGCTAGTTCTCAAGAAAGATGCAAACAAGAACAGAAGGTAAAAAGGCTATAAATGCATGGACAATTAAGATTTTTCGACAGCAAGCAAAGCCAAGAAAAGTGGGGCGAAGGACCTTCGGTGCCATCTTTAAGGGGGATAATCGAAATGACTTTGATTGGACAGTTTTTGTGCTGGTAGCCACTCAAGGATACTCCAAAGCATTGCAATTGGACAGGCAAAGTTAAATAAATATTTTTATGCTCCATTCATGGTTGCAAGTCTTTGTATGGCTTGCTCGATAGTGTGGAAAATCACGTTTGTACGTACCATTGCCGCGTGCTTCGTGTCTTGCAATTGATGGAGTATTTGTTGGCTTATTTCAGAGCATATGAGTACTTGGAAATCGGAGGAAGATTGTGTTTTGCTTCCCAAATTAAGGCTCGTGCAATGCATGCAAAAGACAACCGTATAGTTTTGTTTGCTTGGGTCAGTCGATAAAAAGTAGCCGTCCTTCTCTTGTAATTGATGGAGTTAAGAGTGAAATAAATGGAGGTGTCTATAAAAAAAATTATAAGGATGATATGCAAATAAAGCAAAAATTATGCAGATGTTTTTAGAGGGCTTTATTAATAGTCCTTACATATAACGATGAAATTGCAAATTTTAGAAAATTTAGGGAGACTATGCCCCCTCAAACCAGGCCCCACTAAGGCCTTCACAAACCTTTCCATAATTTCGTGAGACAAATGTGATCCTATCTCCCTCGGTAATATGATTTCTTTTTCTTTTCATTTTTTTTTAATTGGAGTAGTACTACTAATATAAAAAATTCTCTCTTTCGAAGGGTTAGAAAACTTTTTTAGTATTATTAAAAACTTAATTGGTAAAGAAACAATAACTAGCAATCAAGTAAAATTGTCAAATATTCTTCTACAAATCTGAATACAACAAGTCCATCTAAACAAGGATTAGCAAAGTTATATTATTGTTTCTAGCACATAAAAAACATAATTAAATAATAAATATTCACACAATAAATAAATAAATACATTCAATGTAAATTAAGATGAATAAAAAATTAGAAGTTTTTATCTTGATTATTAGAAAAATTAGAAATTAAAATCACCTTACTATGTTTCATAATATTAAAATGACTAAATTTATCAAAATAGTTTAACTAAAATCTTGAGATGACTGTCTTAAGGCATAATCGGATTACTTTATTGAGACGATACGCACCGTTCGTAAATAATTCTAATGCAACGTGTCATAACACAAAATTTCTCCCTTTACATGCTTTTATCTTTTCTTTTCTTTTATGTTATTTTTATTTTATTTTTACTATTATTTGTTTGTTTTTATTTGCATTTTTATTTTATTTTCACTTTAGAATTTACCACAAAAAAGAAAAAAAGAATAAAAGAATAAAAAATACAAAAAAATTAATTACATCGAGGGTGTGATTAAACAAAATAGAATTGAAATTAAAGCAATTAAAGATACAATTGAAGTAATTGGAAACTTCAGGACCAAAATTAAAAGATACAAGGATCCAATTTAAAAAAAATTAGAAGCATATGGACTACAATAACTCACTTAGAGGATACAATTAAGACAAAACTAAACATATATGGACCTAAATTGACATGAGGTGCGGACGATAGGACCAATTCGAAACCAACCCGAATGACTTATTGTCCGAATGCTCTCAAATCCAACCATGACACACCCGCCTTGTCCCGTAACCATTATCTAGCACTATTCATCCCCCATTAATGGCTAGAGGGACAAAACAAGTCAACCATGTAGCTCCCGTGATTGTCCACCACACCTATACCAATCCGCACAACCAAAAACACCAACACAAGCAAAAACAGAATACACGGTCACAAAGCATAATTATTTTGGCTTTATTCAAACGGAACCAAAACTAACAACTAATTGAAAAGTTTGTTTGGTCGAGGAGGGAGTTTTGGACTTAAGGGAATTGATCCATGAAGTGAGGAGGAGGATTTTGGGTATAAATAAGGTCGAATTTTGGGTTTTAGCATAAGGAAGAGAGGAATTGTAGTAAGGGCGAGAGAAGGATTATGGAATTTTAGAATGGGTAAATAGGGATTGTGGAATTATAAAAAGGGTAGAAAGATTAAGGAATTATAGAAAGAAAGAAAGAGAACATAATTGAAAGAAAAATAGAAAGGAAAAAAAAAGAGAAAATAAAGAGTTGAGAAAGATAATTAAAAAAACAATTATAGGGAAGCAAAATATGGATTGAAAGGAATAACCGAGAGAAAAAAATTAAGAGGTATAATAGACACAAATGAATTGCAAAATATGTTAGAGACTTAAATTTCTTATCGAACTACCGAACAAGAAGATATTAGGGTCAAAATCATCAAATTAGCCCTTATAGCTCTTGGGTTCGAAGAACCTTGCTTCACCAATTGGAATGGCCATTGCCTACCGCCACTACGTGTCCTCACTTAGGTTCTCTTAATCGGACACCTAGGCAAGATGTTTTTCTTGATATATAGCTCCTCATTTGCATTAATATAGTCCTTGATAGCTTTAAGATGAGTGATGCTAGTAAGATTCACGTTGCCATCTCACGAAACCCCCACCTCCTTTTCAATTTCATTCATTTTCGTACTTGATTTTGTGAGAAAAAAGGGATTTGATGAATCACAAGTGGCTAGATTATAGGTTTAGGCTTAGGATTTAGGGTTGAATCAAGACAAGGGTTATGATTTAGGACTCGGGTTGAGTTAGGAAATAAATTTAGGGTTTCGGATATATAAGACGAAGAGGGAAAATTAATTGAGGTTTTATGCTATCTAAGAGGAATATTTATGAGAGGAGACAGGGTAAGGATTCAATTTTTTAAAGAGGATTGATTGAGTGAAAAGAGAAGATGAACTACTTTAGGGTTTTTGGTTAGAGACTAGGTAGAGGAAATCAAGAGGTTTTCTAGGTTAAGGCTTAGGAATCTTTGTTAAGGCTTAAGGTTTTTCTTTTACTCGTGGGAGGAGAAGAGATCATTCGATCTTGACGAAGTTGTAGGGGAGAAAGATAGAAGAACCGAAGAG